ACCCAACCTTACCTTTCTGTGAGTGTGCAGGTTCAGGTGTGCCAGGGAGTGCAGCTTTCCAGTCCTCACAGTCAGAGTGCAGGCTGGGCTATTTATACAGAAGGGCCCAAGCTGGCTGAGTTTTTACAACGCACATACTTGTGGAGCTCTTTATTCCTACTCCTCCCAGCCACGCCCCTGAGAGTGAGCTAGTTCCTGGAGGGAAAGTGCTGGGTGGTAGCCAGGGAACAGGGGTTTGCATTTACCATGAGCCATCTGTCTTGGAAGTCTTTCCTTTCTCACCTAGTGGCCATGATCAAAGTGCAGAGCAGCCTTGCAAAAATGAGGCAAGGATTCCAGCAGTGGCATCTATGAACCCAGCAAAAGGACCATACCATTTAACTGTAGCTGCCAAACCCTGAGCCCATTTCCTCTAGTTCCCTTCCATATTCTGCATCTCTAGTGACCCTTCCCATTTTATAGATGAAGAAACTGGCACTTGGCAATAGTAAATTGGTCTGGGTTCACAGAGCTGTCAAGAATAGATCTCAAATTGAAACCCAGGACTCCCAACATCTGTAATCTGATCTCTTTCCACCTGGCTGTCTCAGAGAATATTTGGAGAATGAGTGACTGCAGTTGCTGAAGCCTCTTTCTGAGGTTTGCTTGGATCCAGGTGGTTTACAGTGTAGGCAGATGGATCTGTGGGCCCCGGGGCTGGTGAAGAGATAATTCTCCATAATATAATTTCATTTGAAAATATTTGCCTTCGGGTCATAAGAGGGAGCTCACATAGGTAATCCTGTCACAGGTAGAGTTTCATTCCAGACACATTTAGATAGGGAATCCTGGCCACAGCAAGCCCTGAACTGTGGTACACTCTGCACTCTCCAGTCTCCTTCTCCAGCCCCCACTCATCCACATTGTTGCCAGTATGTGCATAACAACAGCATCTCACTGCAGGCAGCCCACAGAGACTTTCCTGGAGCTGAGCTGTTTAGGCTTGGGCTCCTAATGAGATCTTACACTGTTTTCTTTAAAAACAGGCATTTGTGTTATTGCACAGTAGGTGTTTTGAGAGTGTCCCTCCTTTTTGAATGTGGTGTTTCTAATTAGATTTGAATTCTAATTCTAGTAATGATTGACTAAACTCATTATCAAAGAGTTTAAATAACAAATGCAACTTGGCTTTTGGTAGAGCTAAGCAACAAACACAATGGATGTTACTGACAAATTGGTAGTTGTCCACCAGTGAAGGCTGGTGACTGAATGCCTTTTTCATCAAGGCTGGTCACTGAGACAGGATTTCAAGTGCAAAGCTGGTTTTGATCATATGCTTGCCAGAGATTGTGTGCGTGTGTTTGGATCAAGCCATGCTCACCAAAAATCACCCCTTCTTCATAAGGGACCACATGAACAGCAAAAGAAAATACTGACTTGCTGCATTGAAGCAATATCCATCTGTTGGGTCAGATAACTACATGGAAAATATATTTGGTGTCAGAGGGAACAAGGGGCTGGCTAAACATCAGTGAAACGCAGTGATCAGGTACTCATGTTGGAACTATGAGGAGAATGTGCATCCCAAATTTTAATTCTGACATCTCTGAATCCGTGTTTAGCAAATCAAAAGACACCTGCTGCTTAAGTCCCTCTTTTTCAGAGCATCAAGAGACAGGATTGATGCCCCAGCTGTGAGTAGGAATGCATACTGCCTTAATCTTCTGGAGAATGAACTTTCCAAAAACATTTGGCATTAACTCCTTTTGTTGTTGCTTCAGATTCTGAATCAATCTAAAAAATAACTTAGTTTTATTTTATGCTAATCAAAAATAAATGATTGTGGTTTTTGTAGGTTATAATGCTTGGAATACCAGTAACTTAAAATAAGACTGCTTTTTCTCATGCAACAGTTAATACAAACACTGCTCTTCTTTTCTGGAAAAGTTTTTGTTATAGTGGAGGTGGTGATGGAGGTGCTTGTGGTGATTAAAATGGTTTTGGTGATGGAGGTGGTGGTGATGGAAGTGGTGGAGGTGGTGATGGAGGTCGTGGTAAAGGAGGTGGTGGAAGTGGTGGTGATGGTAGAGGTTATGGTGATGGTAGAAGTGGGTTAGTTGTTAGTTTTACTATTTTGTGGTCAATTTCCCCCTCAAATCAAGCTTTTTAAAAACCACCTCAGAATTTTTAAAATTATTTTTAACAACAAATATTTCTTAAAGGAGTCTACATGTTTTAGTATTTTTTTCATAACCTATCTCTGCATCTAATTATATACATATGCACACACGTGATCTGGTGGCACAGAATACACAGAAACACACATGTACAAAATGCCCACATGCCATCTTATTATCTTAGACTGGAAGGTGGTTCTAGAGAGTCTCTTGTTTGAATTTACCCTCTCATGCATGTGTCACCCAAATTTCGGTTGCTGTCCTAGAAAGGTAGGAGTAGAGACGATAAGTGGCCCTGTCTTTGTGGTGAGACTGTCACTTTACAAGTTGGCATGTGACCATGCTCTTCACATAAACACTGAAGATGTTTGGGTGAGAACCGCAGAAACAACTCTAAAAAGGCTGATAAGAGCACAAGGACTCACAGAACTAAGACACTACCGTGTAGGGTGCCACCTCAGAGAGGAAGGGGGAATAAGAACAGATCCAGAGACTTGTGAGACTTCATTCATTCCACCACTCTATCATTGTTTCCTTCCTTCATTTGTCTAGAGACCACTCAAGAAATGCCTGCTATTGCCTATCAGGAACGTAGTCAATGCTGCTGTAGCCTTAGCTCTTAAGGAAGTGGTGGACAATAAGGGGGTAGGCTTTTATCAGATGACAGTACAGAGGTTAATTGCTAGGTTGGAAGGAAGCCTGGGGTTCGACAAGTGGGGACATCTCTCCTAGCCAAAGGTAGAAAAGAATTTCTCAGGAGTCCATACAGACCAGGCCTGGGTGTGAAAGTTAGTGATTTTTTTTGTCACATAGTAACTATTTTAGGTAAGGTGGAGTATTAGGCATTCAAGGGAATGCCAACATGAATTTGATTTGACTCCTGTTCTCAAAGTCTAGCAGGTTTGGCCTATGCCTGGCTCTTAGGTGT